AGTTGACATTTCTGTGTCGGACTTTGTTTGAATGACTTCTGAGAGACTTAGTGGATATTAGTCCAATTTTGTTCAGTGAGTAGGCAATTTACATAAATAAATGTAAATGATGATATGGTAAGAGTGTACTTGTTTATAGGAGTTGTGAGCGATGTGTACATGGGGATCTATTATATATATACATAAAAGGGTATACTTAATGTAATTAAGTTTTGTAGGTACTGAAGATTTGGTGTTTGTGACATTCAAATATCAGCAATGCTAATCGTGCTTGTCCAGGATACGCTTATCAAAGGTAACACAGAATAATGTAATGCCTTGTATCTTTAGTACATTTAAGCGATGTATTTTGCTACATGTCGAATGATTGTGACCTGCTTGCGTCGTGATAAATATTGGAACGGGTTAGAATATACACGAACTTGATATTCGCTTGAAATGACTAAATGTAAAAATAATAAAATTTATTGAGTTTTGAAGTAAGTGTTTCTCCCCATGTTTTTGTTTTTCTCAATCGCCACTAATAATTCAACAATATCAAACACCTAGCGTTACTAATGGAAAACACAGATGTATGATGCAGTTTATCTCATTATATGGTCACGCAGTAACCAATTCTAAATTGGTGCTTAATTACATTATTCACTTGTGTATCTGTTGTACATTATTAAGGGGACTATGCTTTATAGTATGGAGACGTACAAGACATTTGCACATTTTGATGCAAATATGGAATTACAGTTAATTCAAAATAACTGAACTGGATCGTACGACTGTTTCATCATGGATACTAAGGGCCTAAACAGGTGATGCCCAGGAGGCGATGGGAGAAACGTAAAATGAGAAGTGTGATAATCATGATATCAGAATTTGTTAGTGTGTTATGTAATAACTTAAATAGCTATAAAGCCCAAAATACTGTCTGTTAGGTATGATCAAGTTTATTCAATTAAAACAGTACACATATGAACATAAAGCAATATGATACTGCTTATAGAAGATAATGTTACCGTATATATCATACTGATACTTTACTATTAATAGTAGATGATCTTACGATATATATCTTAATGATTCAATACGATTGACAGTAGAAAATCTTATACAGTACTACTAACAATAGAGTGCCTTATGTTACATATCTTATTAATACATTACTATTAACATGAGATAATCTTACTGTATATATCTTACTGATAAACGACTATTAACAGTAATTAATCTTACTGTATATGTCTTACTGAGAAACTACTATTAAAATTAAGTACTTTTACTGTATATGTCTTACTGAGATACTACTATAAACATGAGATAATCTTACTGTACATATATCTTACTGAGATACTGCCATGAACAGGATATACTCTTACTGTATATGTCTTACTTATATACTACTATAAACAGGAGATAATCTTACTGTATATATCTTACTGATAGACTACTATTAACAGTAAATAATCTTACTGTATATGTCTTACTAAGATAATACTATCAACAGGAGACAGTCCTGTACATTACCATTAATAGTAGATGATCTTAATATATACTTCTTACAGATTCTATATGATTGACAAGAAATGTTAAACAATACTACTAAAAATAACAGTATCTTACCTTTTATATCTTATTGATACATCACTAGTAACAGTAGGTATGATTTTACAGTGTACATCTTACTGATACAATATTTCTAACAGCAGGTATTGTATATTTTGCTGATATAGTACTAATGACAGTAGATAATCTTGCAGTGTATATTTTATTGATACAATAATTTTGACAGTAGATAATATTATTTATATATCTTACTGATACACCAATAACAGTAGATTATCTTATGGTATAATTACTTAATACTGACAGATGATTATCTTACAAATTACAACTAAAAGTGGAAAAGGAGTTCACCTTTCGTTATATATATTGCTGATAAGAGAAGATGATATTACGATGTATATCTTACTGCTACCATACGATTGACAGTAGATCATCTGTCGATATATGTCTCACTGTTACAACGTTTGAATCATTTCACATATCTGTTGGATATCAGTTCTTAGAATTGACAAAAGTTTCAGCTTATCTTCTTCATAAAATGCTAAATTAGTTCTATTCATTGAATATGTGAAACACGGCGCCAGTACATCTGCCTCTTAAGAAAAACTGACTTACTTATTTTTGCGCATGCCACTCAGCGCAGCATTAATCGTCTGCCACGAGGACTTGAGGGGCACCGCCTAATCGATAAACTGATGAAAGTACAATAAGGTCACTGAGTTTGTTTCATTATCAATCATTTAATGAACCATTTTGTGAAAATAATAATAGCAATAAAAAATGCATGCTCGCACTTTTAATGTCAGAAAAAATGAGATCAACTTACTAGCTTTACACCTAAGAATAACTTTTCTTTGATAAAAAACAGAGCTCAGGATCCCTGTTTTGGCATGATCTGGAATTGAAGAAAATTTCGTAAGTAATAAGTTTGAAGTTCATCTATAAAGTAATCCTAATGCCCTAAATCCAGGCTACGGTTACTTATAGAACATGTCAGTTCTTTTACCAAATTAGTCATCCTCATCAAAGAGCCAAATTATACTGACTCTTTGTTATACTGATCACTATAACAGTAATTACATATACATAGGTCTATATAGAAGTACCATACTTCAACTCACATTTACAAATGACTAATTCTTTGTTAAAGTAAGATGATATAGAATATTTCAAATAGGTCTACTTTCGAGAAAAGAGAAACACTCGCAAGGGAAAAGCATGACAGACACAAAATAAATAAACAAATACAAGCATTCATATGATTTACCTGATAAACAACCTCGAGTTAATTTTGGTTACAATTTAACATGTCCAAACAAATTGAAAGCTTTTTGACGGAACATGTTATACAATAAATACATAGTGTTAATTGTTTGGATAAGACAAATTAATAAATATATAAGATTTAATTAGATAACCATTATATTGAGATAACATATCTGTAATAAATAGATATCACGGCCAACCATGTTATAATGCTACAACAGACTTTGTAAATACTCGGACCTGTAATGGTTTAGTTTGCTCTACCAAGCTGTTATGAAATGATCTTATATTTTTGGAAATCTTGAGTACTCGTGCATACCATCCATCGATCTATTCTATTTTCCAGTATTGAATCGTCAACGAACCATTTCTTATTTTCAGGATTTTGAATAATTTATCCCGATTAAGTACACTTACATGTCGTTATTACGTAACCTTACTTGTTATTATTTAGTAATATCATCTGCAATGATTAAATGCTATAGCATTTCATTGGTAAGACTTCATTAATATAATATTTAATCAAAATTTATCATTTATAGACTCAAAACGTCATTGTTAAAAATATTAAGTTATGAAATATTTCGCTGTGAAAATTAAATGATTTATCTGACAAAAAAGATCTGTTGCAATGTCCAATCAATCTTAATCACTCGACAAAATTTGATTCATAGACCTGAAAAGGCATAACTTATTACACTGATGTAATGCTTAATGACTTAGCAAGCAATTAGTTTATTACAATACGACGACAGATAATCTTTAACATATCATGAACACTATTCGATCAATATTATGTATTTGACAATGCATGATGCAGACCATTCTTAATTTATTACACGGCACAACGTCATGATTTATAAGGGTGATACATGTGTAAAATCAAATTTGATAACTTGACTGGGTTACCTGACAAGTCATGAGATAGTACACCGTAAAGTCAAGGCTAATGACATAATAAGTCATGATTTATAACACTGTAAAGTCACGATTAATGAAATAACATGTCATAATGTTCTACACTATGGTCACGATTGATGACATGAAATGTCATAATGTTCTACACTATGGTCACGAATAATGACATAAAATGTCATAATGTTCTACACTATGGTCACGATTAATGACATGAAATGTCATAATGTTCTACACTATGGTCACGATTAATGACATGAAAAAATCAAGATTTATTACACTGTAAAATCACGAGTCATGACCTAGCATGTCATGATTTATTACGATGTAAAGTCATGATAGATCAATTAATTATTACACTCTGAAAACTTATTTTAACTTCCGACAATTAGATTATAAAATAGATTTCCCAACAAAGTCTGATTACTTAAATTGGAAATAAAAAATTAATGACTTGATATGTTATATTACAATATCATGTGATTGATAACAGCGATGTTGTGTTTGAATACATTGACATGTCATAATTAGCATACTGACAAGAAACGGATAATTGAATTAACAAGCACTAGTTCATAATACTGACAAAAGATGGTCCCTATTAAGATTATTATCTATATTCTAGCTGATACTCTATTCGGGTATGGAATAAATCAATAAAACGAATATCAAGAAAGAAAACCGTAGTCTGTTGCAAATTTTATCCTTAACATATGCACTTCTTTTAAAAAAGACATGCCATGCAAATGCGAATTAATGTAAACAACCTTAACAGTGATTACATTGACAGCTGATGATTAATTACAATAATAAGTCATGATAAAACTAGCTGACATATCTAGGGAATGTGTACATTGGCAAGTAATTGATATATACAGTGTAGTTGTGATTAATTACCCTGATCAATGAAAATTACATATGATATCGAACTGATTAATCACATTGACACATCTTGATGCAGAAGTTTGATATTTACATCCTTTTCCGGGTTTAACATCATATTAGTCAATCACATTGAAAATAAACAGGTTATAGATACATATATATTAATTATAGACATACGTGATGTTCCGTACATTTCCTATGAGGTAAATGCTTGTTACGTCACATGGACGTCAAACGGACTTAAATAGCAGATCCACTGAGATTCCGCTGCTCCGTCCTCTAGCACAGCTCCTGTACGTAATCTAATATCCTTCCTATGTGACTCTCGGATTCCTGCGTGAGGACAGTAGATCACAAGCAGATTTTGTCGAGCTCACTCATATACCAAGTGAGGCCAAATGTTGCCTCGCTTTCAGTCGCAGATCTGCAATGCTCGAATTTTTTGAAGATTTGAAGCTACTGTCATGAAGAGTTGCGTAGTTTAATGCAGCGGCGTAATGGTGATGGTATAAAAGTAACGGGTGGATAGGCTGATGTGGGGTAGCCGACGCTGACGCCGCCGCCGCCGCCGAGGCAGCGTGAAGTTGATAATAAGGTAAAAATGGTGCAAAATGCAGACGATCGACCGGTTCCCTTGGGACCTGGGTCATGTTGACAAACGGGGTCATTCTACATGCGTCAAGTGGAGTTCCTTGTGATTGTAGCATTATTCCAGCTAGAAACAAAAAAGGAATACTTAAGATGATATACGTAATACAAGACAAACGCCAATATACGGAAAAGGTTCTATATACCGCTATTGTGACGACAAAAGGACGTCGTGATCCAGTTTTCTTGGTAATAGATAGTGAAATTTAACAATAAATATCAGTCTTTTAAGTCATACATATATATATATACATGTTACTTCCTCTGTTCCACCTTTTCCTTTCTATATGAAAGATTCTTTTTCCTAATCAAAATACAAGTTTGTCAACAACGTTTCAAGATGTTTCTGCCCCCTGTTTCTTTAAACGTTTAACATTTACAATGACGATGTTACAGTTATGACGCATGAAATATCAACATGAAATATATAAGTATTCCATGCTGGAAACAATAGAGGGACTTATTATCATCGTTATTTTCGTTAACTGAGATTAAACATAACATCTTTATGACTGCAAATCATATACATAAATATGCAGACCGCTTATATATAAATATGAATTATAAGGATATACCAACTCACTTTATTCAACAAGGATATAAGTTGGATTGGTGCAAAGTACGAGATGTTTCTTATAGGTATTTGAGCGAAGTGCTTGAACATGTTCTTCTATAGAACTTAAATAAAATGTTCTAAAATGAAAGGCCAGTGAGTATTTGGAACTAGTGTAGTACTGGTGACAGTGAGAGAACCCTGACTTCCGCACAGATGTATCATACGATGCTTCACCATTCATCAGCCTTTTACATGTTTACAAATCATAAGATATACAAATTGGCTACATGTTTCGATCCCCAATGTAAATGTGTCTTCAGATGTTAGAGAGTTTTAACAATGGCGGGTCACCAATTACACTTTATCATATTCCAGCAATGATTTGTAATTCATCATTCTCTGACAAACCGTCTCCGATCATAATTGGTACTACCAGGGATTGTTTGTATTCAATATGCAACATTCTGACAAGAAATATAGCGGAATCAGACCACTGTCGACTATAAATACAGGGCTAATGATACTCAAAACGTTAATCACTGCCGCTAACGTTCTTTATGTTAGCTAATTTGTTCGCGGCCCTATTTCATTAGGTTCAGCGAAGGAATATGTTAACTGGAGAGGCGTCGCAAAAGACGAGCAAGAGAGACACTTCTCATCAACTCAACACAAAAGGTCAGGTTTTTTTGAAAAAGAGAAATCTGTGGGTTAGGAACCCATCCTGATCTAGAGTTGTGACCAAATATTTGTTTTCATTAATACACCAGTAGTACGCTATTCAAAATTCTAGTTTTGGGCTAAATTGTCAATACTATTTGGCCCGCCTGGAGATGTTTGCTAGCCACTTTTCCAATAAAATACTTGATGAAGTCAATTTGACTTTTGATCATACAAGCTGATATTGTAATTGTGCGACGAAGAACTAATTTGGAGGCACAGTACACTGTAAAATAGCTGAGGCTGCCCGCTGTGGCCTATTGTACACAAAGAAGGCTGCCTCGAGTGGATGTACGGACCACATCAGCGTGAACAGAAGACCCACCCACAACGATACTACAAAATAATGTTTGTTACAATATTTCTCTGTTAAGGTAGTAAGATTGATGTCAGTGGACATGTTAAAATATTGTACCTTAAGAATCGTTCTGGTGTCAATTTGTCTTATTTCCATTAATGTATTCTCGTTTAAAAAGGAGTAAGCGACAGGCTCGAAAACATTTCAACACTAAAACCAATATAAAAAAATAAAATAACATAAATTAAGGACGCACGGAAAAAGAGAAATGCCTCTAATTTTCGTGTATCTAAGACGCCATGATAATTTTTATTATTTTTATACCTTATGCAATGGCGACGTTGTTATTATCCTTATTAACATGACGGGTGAAGTAGATGAAGGGAAAACGTTCACACTTGAGGAGCACATGGTATTATCATCTTCTTGTTTCTTTATGCTATCTTTGTGCAAATCTTTTGTTTGTTCATATTTTGTAATAATTTCCTAGATGATGTTTGCATTATGATTCCATTGACATGGTCATATAACACAATTCAAAATATCTTATTTACATTATGTTACTAAGCAACGTAATTTTGACGTGACAATACCTTCCATAAAAAGCACGAACAAAGAAAATGATACTTAATGTATAAGGTATCTAGGTAGCATCACAGATTAGTAACGGCTGCTCTATAAGTTAATTGTATTTTAAGATGAAAACGTGACAGCGGATATATATATTTATTCTATAGAAAATCATCACGAATATTGATATCGAGTTATCAGAAAATTATTTCTAGCGAACAAACAACGGGTATAACAGAATTAATTCTAAAGCAATCAATAAACCATTGCTAAGAGAACATTTTTATAAATATTTGGAATTAGAATGGTTTAAGTTTGCAGAAATGGCAATAATTTCCCTGTGTCCTTTGTATTGCTATTGTATGTACTATATATTGATTTTCTGTAACATTTCTGTACATTGTTTATATACTTTCCATGCGATATGTAGTTGCTCTGTATATAATTTACATAGTTTTCTGAGTATTGTTTTCATTTTTCTGTATGTTTGTTTTTTCGTAACTCTGAATATAACTGGCATCTTTTCTGAGTATCATTTGTGTACATTTTATATGATTGACATATTATTCAATGAATATTATTTGCTTGCTCTGTGTATGATGCACCCACGTTTCTGTGTATCATTTGTGTACTCTGCATATGTAGAGGTATATTAATACCTTTTTTATACTTCATGCACTCTAACATAAAGAATTTTATATATATATATATATCAATTTATCTTTTCATAGGAAAAAAGGTACAACAGAACTGTAGGGTGACAGATTAATTCTTAACGTCAATTGATGAAACCTATTATCGGCATTGATCAATCATTTTAACATTTCGTGTTTGCCTATCTATGTACATATATATATATCTATATTAAATGCTGCAGAATGAAAAACAACAGACAATATTTTTTATACCAATATAACTTATGAAAACACTCGCCATTTACCTTTGTAAATATCCTTATCCAACCGATACTAGAAATTGATATCTAAATCTTAAATTCGTAAAAGTTGTCTCAATCTATTCAATAAATTTATTTGATTATCGATATTGAACTTATGAATAAAAAGTCTTTTCTTCTTAGTAAAAATACCCAATTTCCTCTGATAAGGTAGTAAGACTAATATGATATAATAAAAAATATGTTAAGGAAAGCAAAAATCGAAATAAACGAACACTACATGGAGCTTTATATCAATACAACATATTTTAAGAATTGATTATGATACTAGTTTTAAATTTTTCTGTAATGATATGCTCTGTGTTCACCATTGCACAGTTTTATAACTATATATAACCACAACATCATCTTCATTGATCTTCAATAAACACTCCCTGTCTAATTATGAATTAATAAAAAGTAAACTAAAGCAAATGCAAAGAATAACATTATCTAGGAACGTTAATATATTTTATAAATGAAAGAATTTTAATATTTATAGAACTCAAACCACAGACGGGAGAACTCTTTCTGACCCTGAATGACCTCTCTAAAATGTATCAATCTCCACAAAGGTTTGTTGCTAGGAAAACAATTATATCATTATGAAGGTTCCGCATACCTATTGATTAATATGTGTTGTGACAGTTAAGAATCAAATTAATAGAAACTGCATGTTAAAAATTGTATTAGAGGAAGAAAACTAACAGACAATTATGAGGATTCATTCTTTTCGGGGAAATCAAATAGTTCTTCTTGTATACAACAAAGAGTGTAATCTACTTTACTGATTTCCACGGTGTTTCTAGCTGTTATGTTAAATGTATCTGCGAGTCAGTGTACTGTTGAGAAAAACAATTTACCGATTTAAGTTAGGGAAGCGCTGTTGTTAAGGTTAATTGTGAAGCAGGGACTTGATAACTTAATAAGATAAAACCGTTCTTGAAGCGGAGGACGCAAAATAATTTGTCTATAAATTATCTAAATCGCTTGCACAATAGGGCTTTTGTACTCTAACGTTTACGGTGTGGGTGAGAATGTATATTCATAGAGTAAATAAAGAAAATTGCCTAATTACGAAAATTGGTATGATTGAACTGAATTAGTTTAGTAACAGTCAAGGTTATTTCATTCAATTTGAGAAATATAATAACAATGAATGGTGAACACGAATTTGATACCAATTTTACTTTTATCTAACACTCATATATCAATTTGTCTTCATTCCCGAATTAAACCTCATGAAATCGCATTATTTAGTCATGAATTTCAAATAAATAGTCAATCAAAGAAACCTGTCTCTGCAAAGATCCGCGTGGCATTGAAGCCATTATGGTTCCTGTGCAAACCCCTGAGTGAATTAGACTTTCAGATCTTCTCATTGGAACGCTTTTCACTGACTTCTCATTATTGAGCTTGAACATTTCTACTGCCTAATGTAATATTTGAGGCTAAGGTTGTTGCCAGAATAAATCTGATTAATCACTGCCATTATGTCAAGAGAGTCTTCTCGCCGTATGAGGCAATCGATGTCATTTGTATCAGCTTCCTTCTGTCAATTAAATCAATTGAAGCAATCACGTTTTCTACAAACGGTCCGTATGAGGCGAATTAAGCTTGTGTTCTTAATGGAGGTGCGACAATAACAGAAGATAATGGATATTGTAAACCAGTTTCCCTTAATCTACTTGGATGAACTCTGAATATGAAGATGAAAAGTAACTGGTATTGCCTACTTCACAGCTTCAAGAAAGCTATTCAATCTCTGCGGTTAAAATTGTTATACGGAGAGGGGCCAAACGGGCGATTGTTTGGGCTAATACAAATTTAGTTTAAAGGGGTTTGCATAAACAATTACCATAATGACGGAGAAAGTGATCAAACTAAAAGTTATATTTGTCGAATTCCTAATAATAGAATTAAATACAACGATGACGAATTGTTTGCACGTATATAACAGGATAGAAAGACTGACGTGTTATTCTTAGACAAGCTTGCATCTTTGAAGACTTCAAACTGTTAGACGAATTAAAAGATCACGAGAACAAATTAACATGTAGACATACAAATATAAGCAGCTTATTGACGTCTATCTATATGTATTTAAACTGATCAATCTGTAAGTGCCGATGTAGAAAATGATTGCATATAAAGTCCAAATGGTTGTAACATTTAGTTGGATTGAAACAGAAAAAAATAAATTTTGGTGGACAAATGGAAAACATGACTGATGAAAGTGACAGTGTTGTCATTGGAATCCTACCTTTAATTGTTTACTGGTTGTGTTAAAAGAACTTTTATTCCATTGAATTTATCAACTTGAAGAATATATTCCAAAGTTATTTTGATTAAATGTGTTCAACTTTTAAATAGTTTAATTTATAATTTTACATTTCTTTATCTAAGTTTAACTCATATTTCAAACGTTTTGGCGATTATCATTTTTGCATGAATTAACACACACACTACAATACTGTAAGCTGTCTCACATTTTTACACTTAATAACCTTATGATTTTTTTTTTAGAATTCAAAATTATTTTGAACAGTTACTAGACAGTAATAAGTAAAAAACAGCAACGTTTATTTCGACCGATATTGGATTTCTGATACTAAATTAACATTTATGTTTTTACGTTTGAATCTTACAGTTATTGGTCAGTTTGCTGCAAGCGAACAGTTTTTTTATATTTCACTAAACAATTAATTTTACACTTTTCATGTCATATCAATTTTTGATTAAAGCCATGTGTTTGCTTTGTTTATGAATACTAATTTTTCCACGTTCCTTTAGAAAACAACATTATTTGAAGACAAGTTACAAATGCTTGCGAAATTCTTAAGAATACAGCTACGAGAATTGGTAAAACCCATGTCGTATCAGTGACAAGATGAGATTATGCTTAAAACCTCGTGCATAATTTAATATGCATGTCTTATAAATTACTTAAAATATGAGAAAATTATCATACATAGTCAGCTTAATAATAGTCACGTGACATCAATCAGTTAATTACATAGCAATATTCCTGATGTTTTAACATGTAAATACACTTTAAGGCTTGACCATAACTAGATGTATTGTATCTTATTGTATTATATATATCATCTCTTCAAAAATATATATTCGGAAACCAGGTTTAAATAGGAATGCTTACATCGTTAACTTCAAAGAGAGATAGCATGTTAGTCTTTTTTACTGCTTGCTTATCCTTGACAACAAATACTGATCATTTTAATACCAATCAACATATTTATGATCATAAACGAAATTTGTTTCACAGTTGATATGCAGGATCTGTGATGTAATAAAACCTTTCAAATAGATATAAATGTTTCATAAAGATAATTTCCAGAATAAATAAATTTTCAAAGAATTCCTTTATGAAAGAAATTTAAACATAATCGATAAAAACGCATACAATAGCTTCATCTATAATGATATCGTTGTAGAAGAACCTCGATATACTATACATATATACAGTTTTTATTCCGCAAAGATAAGTCTTCTTAATTCTGTAAATTCTATTATGATCGATAATATATTGATCAAAACATACCATGCACATATTGTGTCTATAAGTTCATGTCATTTACCAATTGTTATAACATTTAAAAATAAGAAAAAAAGGGGATAAAAATAAAATTCCCCTTGGCGAGCCTCTTACCTTTCTGCATCTGACTCTCGTGTTTGCGGCACTTTGCTCGCCGATTTTGGAACCAGACCTGAGAAAATATGATGTTAATCAAATTTGTATTACTTTCATCAACTTCAATCCAGTATTGCTTTGTACCTAATGTGATTTATTTATTTATACCCTCTCTTCACCCTTATAATTTGATCAATTTAGCCATTTTCTTAATTCCCTCTGTGTATAGCAACTCCAACAGTATGATAACGGTATTAACTTCATAAAAGTAATTCAACGGGATCAAGTACAGTGACGAAAAATGGCAATTCCTTCCAAGAATTGGTGTCGTGTGCATTTACCAAAGTTTGAAGAAGACTCAGACAGTCTGTCGCGCTAAGAGATATGTGGGCAAAAAATCATCAGATTCATTTACAGCGCAAAGCCAGTCTAAGTCTACCACGAACGATTGTAGGCTAAAAAGTCAGTGTTGATCCATGTTGAACGTGTTATATATTGTGATTAAAAAGACCATGCCAATTCGTTTAAACAATGATTTATTGTTCACAAAACATGTGTCAATTAGTTTACTAAAAGCAGTGTTCTTATTGTTGACAAAACTCGTAATCGTTAAACAATGTTTCAATGGTTTTTGATTTACTGTAAGGTACAGTTAAATTAATTTTCATTAGCAACATCAGTAACAATTCGTTATTAAGACTTTTGATAATAAAACAGTTGTAACTTTCAATAAGAAATGTTAAGTATAACAAGAATGGATAGTATCACGGATATTAAAACTTATGAAAATATAATAACAGACACTTGCTTGAATTTAGTAATTCAGACATAAACATGACATATCGGTATTATTATTAGTTCCTAAGTAACTCAAGAACTATACATCTGTCTAAATATATGGTTTTCGAATCAATTCATATGGGCATTATCTTTCCACAGATACACAGTATTTATCTTAGCCGTTATTATCACAAAATCTTTATTAGTGTCGGAAATATTTTTGTTATTTCCGGAGCAAATGTCACTATGTCGGGAGAGATGAGTAGCTATTTGGCTTGTAATGTATCGAAAAAGGAAATGTCACTATATCGGGAGAGATGAGAAGCCTGTATTGTATCGAAAACAGAAATGTCACTATGTCGGGAGAGATGAGTAGACATTCAGCCGGTAATGACCCGGAGCGATATTTCTACGACAAACCTGCTTCCTTTATACCGGTCGAAAATAGTCATCATGTTTTCTTAAAAACCAAACAATAGTATAGTTCATGTTAGTTACTCGCTATCATTTTTAAAGAGACGGGGTCATGAAAGATTTTTTTAATATAAAAAAAAAAATATTTTAACCCATTTGTAAAACTGCTCTCAAATTTCTGAGTATTTCTTAAACTATTTTAATTAATATTAAGTTGGTGAACCAGTCTCATGATTTGTATCTCAATATATTTTGGGCAATGACCTCCCTTGTACAAATGGCATAGAGAAGGATGGTGGAAATTCCTGATGTGTTACCATGTGTACAATAACATGACATGATAAGGTATATTGTCGGTTTAGTGACAGCTATCCTATGGCACACAAATTATTAAAAGTCTATATACAGCTATACACAATGGATATATATATATATTTCGGTATCGTTATTTATGAACTGGTACACCATTCTAAATGGAATCTCTCTGTTTCTATTCGATGGGTGTTGTTCAAAATAATGTTTAAACAATCCCCATGGCAAAAGATGAATGTTGATGTACAACTAAATATTGAGTTTATTACTTAAATGCATCACGGAAACAGATGTGACCATTTCCTTCAATATGTATTCTTATCACTTGTCGGAGTTATCAACTTGATTTCATATTGAGAAAAAGTAACAAATTGTTAAATCGCTTTAGAGAAGAGTTTGACAAATTCTATCTCCTGACAAATCGACAGATAATCTGATGACACATTTCCAATGTATTTTTTAACATAATGCTGCTTGCGTTCTGTGCGTCACTGATCCCTCAATGTCCTCCTGTCGTGAATCGCGGCTACAATCGTGGATATGAAAAGTATGGTTCTTACAACGCGATTTGACAATGATCAATGTCATTTGATGATTGTCATCGTGTAACACACTAATACACGAGAACAATAGTCGAACTGGGATTTATTGCAAACTAGATTATTAGTAACATACGAGAGCTGTGTCTAATGTGACCAGGCTTATTGAATAAGGAGGAAAAGAATATCAATTGTCAGTGACACTATCTTGGTGTAATGTGAGCGAACAACTTCCCCTGGGAAGACTATGACAAACCAGCAATCGTCACCAAGACTGGGAAATTCTCATGAAAAATGGTCAAAACCAGAGGAAAGGAATATAAACTACAATTTGTCGGGAAAATAGGGATCGACTGTGAATGCTATTTTAGTTATAATTTGCCAATACGACATAACAGCCATTTGCATCTATCTGATTTCTGTAATTAAGTGTATTTCACACCATGTCATCATCAGTAGTGTCATCACGATGATTTATTTAACCACAGACTACCTCCTAAAGTCAAGCCTTTGATTTACACACATTTTATCTAATAAGTATGAATCAATTAAGATTCTTAGAAGAACTAAGAAATTATGTTAATAATCCATTGATTACCACTGTCTTGTTTCTTACATCTTAATAGTCAATAATCACCACAAAAATTTGTTAAATACATTAATACCATGATATATCTTAAACCTACCACTACAGAAGTTTTTGCGGCTAATCACCATAAACATGGTTCAAAGCTTGTTTATGTTTTTGTTACTTTGTAATTATATAAGTGGATAATGAGAATGTTTTCGCATAATAGTTTTGTATCCATGTAGCGATGCGAATGCATTGACTGACCATCACGACAGGGAATGGTTTTATTAATAACTGTTAAATACACTTAGCATGTAACATGCTTCCTGGACAATAAAATGGCCAAGAATGCCTGTAAATATCAATTTTATAAAACATTGAAATAAAACCACTGATAGATATATGGACAAAGAGTTGTTTTTCCGACACCACAATATTATGCCAAGGTACTACCGAACACAGTAACATTTTATACCTAGGAAATATCACATTATGTAGTTACACAGTTCTCAGTATACACGATAAGCGAAAACGACTTGAAAGCTTTAGGAACATATTTTCCATCTTTAACCAATAATGATCGAACCAAACGTTATAGATGAATGTAACGAAGTAAAGGGTTTTGAGAAAGAACAGTATAAATCCAAAATAGGCAATGGATAGCGATGTAGCGTCAGTTGACGCAATATATGTAGTCTTTGAAGAGATGGACGAATTGATGGACTTAGGGATGAATGAAGCGATGGATTTAGCGATGGGTCTAGTTAAAGGTATAGCGATGGGTGAAACATAGGATGCAACGATAGGTGAAACGAAGAGTGCAACGATGGTTAAGTGATGAATGTAGCGATGGATTTAGCGATGGGTGATGTGAAGAGCTTAGCGATAGATTTAGTGATGGGCGTATAAAACATGTAACATTAGGTATAGCGAAAGTGTAGCAATAGATATAGAAATTGGTGATGGGATTTGACTACTGATGGATGTAGAAATGTGTTGAGGAGATTGATTTTTGCCGTTTACTTATAAGACAACATCCCCTTTTTCGTAGTCTGATGTAGCCAATATTCGAAAAAGAAAAAAAGGAAACCATTTTAATGTCATGAGTAGAAAGACGTCAAACAGCTTTCGTGATAATATTAGAATGACCTGATGTCTAAGAGGACATCTATAGATAAACAACAGAAATAACGAATAATGGAGACAAGGAAAACAAAATCTCCCAGTTTGATCATGAAAATTATAAAGAAATATTAGTCATCTTAACAGGGACAAAATAATAAAGGTTACTTCCAAAGCGTAAGTAAGGTCCCGTTCGGTTGTTGGTTTGAACAAACCTAGGAATTCTTTGTTTGTTGGTGTCATGGTATCTTAACATAAACTTTATTTCGAGACTTTGAGCATACTAAACTCATTCAGAAGAAATGAACCAGCAATGTCCTTTGAAAAACTAAACAACCAAACTATGTCTAATCTACAAAAACCGTCTTCAGATAAGTTACATCCTCATGACATTTTAAAACAATTTTCCATTGTTTGATTGGATTAAGGATTACACTTACTAGCGTTTCGTTTCTACCCGTGTCATTGAATTCTATTTAACGACACTTTGTTCTATTTAATGAGGGCCAAAACGATAACAAAAACGTATACAACATCCTGATATCAATCAAGTTATTCCCACAGACGGGAAACAACATAACTAAACCCTGCTGAGGACATAAAGATTCACTTCATGTAACTTAAGTAACCAATTAAGCGTTCTTGCCACCTTGATGATCCGGCTAATGACAAATTACGGATCGGGACATAAAAACGGAACTAGCAACATAAAACCATGAGGTGTTTTGTGAATATTGTCAAATATAAGTCTCAAGACTCCATAAAATGATTGTTATATAAGCAGTCCTACTTTTCAAATTTCTTTTAAATTCTGTAACGCCCTCCACCTGTGGGTGATAATTGAATAAAATAAAATACAATGACATAACAAGGCCTGACAGTGCAATTGATCGTCCACAAAATGCTACGTTGTGCAAGTTCCCTCGCTCGTTGTCTCATCGTAGATTATCTTAAACACTGCTAGACTTGGGAGATAATTTGATTTTAATTCCACTCGCTGAAAACTCCAAGAAATCGTTAGTTGACGAACTATTCTGAGAGCTTGATCGGGTGATGGTGTCTAGAAAAGATAAATTTCCTCAATTACATTTAATCTAATAAACATCTCCGCTGTGTAATTATTGCTCTTTCTTTATCGCCTTTCACTGTGAATATGCTTGTTGTTCGCACGTTCGAATGGCTGCTGCCGGATTTTTAGCCGAGCGTTTGCTCATCATCTCAAGGAGGCTCTCACAATATAGGTGACGTGTGGTTAACGTAGCTTAAAGCGAACTGGTATACCTATACACTATATAGGCAATTAACCAGCACGCACTATATTGCGACGAAACCGTCTCC